GTTTTCAGAGCTGGGGTGGCTTGACTGACAATTACTTACTCATGCAACACTGTACCCAAATGAATGTTATATTTTTATGAACAGATGGAGCTTTCATTTGGTGGTATTTACTACACAAAAGGAAATAAACTGTTTCCTTCATTTATAAATCATATCAAATAAAAATGCCAGGACAGTACGCACACCCCCAAAATGACTTTTTGAAAAGTAGACACCCTAAGATGATCTCATTCTTTGCCATAATTTTTTTGAAATGTAGAAACATGCTGATATTGAGGTGTTTAAAATATGGAGCTTGGTGATGGTGCACTAGATACAGTACATCATTAACACGGAGGTGAGGGCATTAATGCCCAGGCCACATGATGGGATGGTGATGAGGAAATTAATGTGCAGGATAGCAGATTAAGAAGCGCCAATATGCAGGTCATTACAGAGATGGGATGGAAATGAGACATACAGGGATGAGGAGGTGTAAAAGGGTTAAAAATACAAACCCAATCAAATTCCTTAAAACCCCCACCTTAAATGTGCTGCTTCCCATCATTCAGTAAATCCAATCTCTTCATTCACAAATCTTCCTTCCTCCATTGTGAGAGGTAGCAGAGAGCCCACAAATGCAGCATTTACATTCTTGATTGCTGTGATTGGCCACCCCAACGATCACAAACCACAGAGACACTCTAATTGGCTCTGTGCATTTTGTCCATCATCTGTGATCTAATTGCAGTAAACTGATGATAGTAAACAGAGCATCATTTTTAAATGGCACTCCACAAATGCATGTTCACCAATCCGCTTTTTATCAACGTATGGTGATAGCAAAGTAGTTAAACTTAGTGGAACTTTGATACACTCACAATTGTACTTGTATAAGAAGATCGTAAAATATTAACCTTTTCTTTGTTCATTTGCAATCATTTTAATAAACAGTATTTATTCAATTATCTCTAAAACTGACCAATTTAGTCCTATTCCCTACTTTCTAATGTGTGTTAGTTCTTTAAAGGAGAACTAAAGTCAAGCTTATTTTTTTGGCTTTAGTCCTCTTTTGTGTCAAAGGAGTAACTTTACTAATGTACTCCAGTAACCTAAAGTCAACATCTATCAGGCTACTGCCCGCTATTTGCTGACAGTGCAGAGCCACGCTTCAGCCAGGAAAGACCCCTACAATAGTGTCAGGATCCACCCTGGTGCCTGATTGACACCTGGCTCTGGCTGTCTAGTGCTCCTCTACTAACATGTCCTCCTAAAGGATACACAGTGTGGAACAAGGCATGGTAAGTCAGTTGTAGGGAAAAGATCAGATCAGATCAAAATAAAATTGTCAGGGGAGGTGATAATAGAAAAAACATTTTCCTAAATGTTAATTGGCAATAATAAATGCTGTGTCATTTTATTGCATGCAAAAAGAAAAGGTTAAAAAAGGAATGTAAGCTACAGCAAATTCTGACTGTACCTCTATGTGACAATTCATGAAGGTGTTTTAGTTTGGTGGCTGATCCATCCCATATAAGAAGACCTAGGGATCTAGCTGGAGCTGACATTTTTGGTGAGTTGAAGGGAGAGAAAGCAGCATGGGCTGAGATGCAAAGAAGAAGAATAATGTGTTGTTTAAAAGACAGCACTGATGTGGGGGTCTGCTGCTTTAATCACTACATCCTTTGCTTCAGTAGACTTTTCTAGCATGTGCATTTTGTTTCACATAGAGAACTTGCTGGACAACCTAGAGACACATGCACAGGGGTTGACATCTTAGTGTTTCCTGCTTTAGTTGCTGCAGTATATACCTTTAGTATGTATGACATGACCCAAGCGTTTTTGACAACAGTCTGTCTTGCACATTTAAAGTGCTGGAGGAGAGGACTAATTCATTGGGTGTCTACACAGTTCTAAAACCGCCTTTATAAATAGATCAGTGTTGCAGAAAACTGTTGTACAGAGATTTAAAAGAGTAATAGCAGAACAACTAAGCTTAGGGGAGCCATTATACAATTCTTTTATTGAAATTATAGTGGTAGGATTTAAGAATTGGAGTTGTCTCCGACAAGTATTTTTCCTTTTGACAAGTTTCCTTAAGGCCTGAATTACACAATGGGGTCGATTTACTAAGGTGGGCAAAAGCTGTATACTTGTATCACTGGCCTGTGTGACCACACAGAAGTACATGCATTTAGCGAATGTGATCACTGAACCATTTAAGCTGATAGTACATTGATATTCAATGCATATGGTGTGGTCCTAGTTTGCTGTGGATGTTCAACATCTAAATAATGCTACCTTTGTGTGTTTTGCTCTGATCAAGTGAACCAAGGCATGCACCTGTCAACATTTTCCTGAAAATAAATTGAAGAAAAATGTTGATTAGTTGCTGAGAAATGAAATGCACATCGCAATCCAGCAGGTCTACATAATCTGTACGTCTATGTATGAGGTATTTGTCACTGAAATCTCTATTGAAGCATCAGCATAAGGAATCTCATCTTTAGGCTGGTATGTGAACTTTTACTAATGGCCAGTGCAAAAGGCTTTTTAAAAATGATCGGTTGTTACAATATCCATTAATAATAGCAATATACACTTAAAGGAGAACTATGAGGTGACTGCTTTTCACTCACCTCATAGTCCTAGCCGACCTGTGACAATGAGACTGTCACAGGTCGGCTCAGTAGATTGGGAAGTGAGCGAACACATACCGGCGTTCGCTCACTTCTCAATCCTGTCACAGCTCTCTGCCGTGACAGGGGAGTGGCTGGATTCCCCCCTCCCCGCTCCTCCAGCGCTGACTGGCGGAACGGACAGTGGAGGGGGCGGGTACAGCTGGCTCTGCCTCTAGATAGGCAGAGCCAGCTGTCAGTCACGCAGCTGCTTGGATCCAGATATAATTGTTGGGATCCGCTTCGGCGTCTCAGTATACCGCGAGCTACAGCTCGCAGTATACTGAGCCTAGGGTGACGCTAGTTTGTGTCCTCCCGTTACCCTAAGGAGAACTATGGGGAAACGCCTTAACCCCATAGTTCTCCTTTAATGCTTTCTTTGCTACATGGTGTGCACTTACAGTTGTTAAACAGTGCAAAAAAAACACAGATAGCATACATTCAGGTGGTGAACTGTACATTCCATAGCAAACCACACGCTGCTAGGTAGTACCCTTTCTATGTATTGGTGCACATTGTGCAAAAAGCTGCACCATCACAACATACATGAGGGGACCCTGTAGATTCCATTGTTCCTGCCCACAGCAAGGAAGAATGACAGCTAATAAATGTTCCAGTATATGTCATGAATCTATATTAATAGAAGCTATAGATAAATGAGTATAAAAAGGATATATGTATGTGTGTATGAATGCACACAGTTGTGCAAACTACAAACTAAGTACCACTCTTCTGCCAGTGGAAGATTTAACAGTTGAGATAAAAACATATTCCAGTATAAAAATATTAATTATTACACAGACAATGGTTTAAATACAAGTTAACAAAAAGCAAAAACCATCATTCATAAAAACTCATCCGTGTACATCTGAATAAGCTCTGCTTAAAACTGTAAAAATATTTACAAACAGTTGTTAGAGTGTGGCTAATGTAGAATACTGAATGATTATTTGTGATATCAATTTTTGAAATGTGTACAAACTAACTATAAACAGGCATTATGTCAGTATACAGGGAATAAATTCTGTTTTCTGCATAGGAAAAATGTTGATGGTTGTCTATTTATGATGCACCACCAATTTTATGGAAGTTATTAATGCAGTCTGTTCACATACATAGTCCTAGCCGACCTGTGACAATGAGACTGTCACAGGTCGGCTCAGTAGATTGGGAAGTGAGCGAACACATACCGGCGTTCGCTCACTTCTCAATCCTGTCACAGCTCTCTGCCGTGACAGGGGAGTGGCTGGATTCCCCCCTCCCCGCTCCTCCAGCGCTGACTGGCGGAACGGACAGTGGAGGGGGCGGGTACAGCTGGCTCTGCCTCTAGATAGGCAGAGCCAGCTGTCAGTCACGCAGCTGCTTGGATCCAGATATAATTGTTGGGATCCGCTTCGGCGTCTCAGTATACCGCGAGCTACAGCTCGCAGTATACTGAGCCTAGGGTGACGCTAGTTTGTGTCCTCCCGTTACCCTAAGGAGAACTATGGGGAAACGCCTTAACCCCATAGTTCTCCTTTAATGCTTTCTTTGCTACATGGTGTGCACTTACAGTTGTTAAACAGTGCAAAAAAAACACAGATAGCATACATTCAGGTGGTGAACTGTACATTCCATAGCAAACCACACGCTGCTAGGTAGTACCCTTTCTATGTATTGGTGCACATTGTGCAAAAAGCTGCACCATCACAACATACATGAGGGGACCCTGTAGATTCCATTGTTCCTGCCCACAGCAAGGAAGAATGACAGCTAATAAATGTTCCAGTATATGTCATGAATCTATATTAATAGAAGCTATAGATAAATGAGTATAAAAAGGATATATGTATGTGTGTATGAATGCACACAGTTGTGCAAACTACAAACTAAGTACCACTCTTCTGCCAGTGGAAGATTTAACAGTTGAGATAAAAACATATTCCAGTATAAAAATATTAATTATTACACAGACAATGGTTTAAATACAAGTTAACAAAAAGCAAAAACCATCATTCATAAAAACTCATCCGTGTACATCTGAATAAGCTCTGCTTAAAACTGTAAAAATATTTACAAACAGTTGTTAGAGTGTGGCTAATGTAGAATACTGAATGATTATTTGTGATATCAATTTTTGAAATGTGTACAAACTAACTATAAACAGGCATTATGTCAGTATACAGGGAATAAATTCTGTTTTCTGCATAGGAAAAATGTTGATGGTTGTCTATTTATGATGCACCACCAATTTTATGGAAGTTATTAATGCAGTCTGTTCACATATCTGGCAGAACTTTTTCCAAGCCGAGACAGCGCAATATTCTCATATTTTGGCACATATGTGAAAATAAAGGGGCCAAGCCTGTGGCTCCCTGTATCCATCGCTTCAACTTCTGTTATCCATAGGATCAAGACAAAACACAGTTCCTTCCATCGTCAGTCCCATTTTGAACCCCTCCTGAAACACAAAAAAACTAAACGGTGTCAGTTGTCTGGTAACTTGATATAGACATATATGTGAAGAAACTTGACTTGGTTAGGCCAATACCTGCCATTTACCTAATTAAAGACCATGGAGAGTAGATCTGTGACCCAACATGCATGACATTCTCACAAAAGGCTGGAGATCTACTGGTTTTCAGCAATTTAAAGGGCTGAACAAGAAAAAAGCTGTCAAAGTATGGCCAACCTCAGTCGTTGGAACTGAGATTTAGAGCAGATTTGGCGTGAGCCTGAATCTGGATCTCAGCTGTTGGAGATCCTAAACAGAGAACTTAAAAATGTGAAGGCTGCCAAACCTATGAAATAGAACATGTAATTTAAAAGGAAAACTTCAACCAAACATCTAATTAGACAGCCAAAACATTTACATAAGAATAGTTTCATCTGACAAAAAATGTTTAGACTAATGAATGTACTTTCAGGATCTACTCATATCTATTGTGCCATGAATTTTCAAAACATAAGCAAGAAGACATAACTGCAGTTTTGGAGGTCCTCCCCATACCTTAACATACCCTTATCAGTACAGATGGACATGGCTACTATATTTAATCAAGTTCTCCTCTTGACAATATTAAGCTGGCCAGATACTGTTATAACTTTTTGGTTCACACTGCAGGCTGAATTAAAAAATATAACAAATTCCTCCATCCCTGCCAAACAATGTCGATGGATGAATCTCCTGCTGGGCTATCATATTCTGACAACCGCATGTGTGCTACCATCATCATTCACCTGAAAATGCTCTGACTGGCTCCTTCCATTTCCTAATTGAAGGATGGCGGATGGAAGGCCACCCACTGAGCAAATGTTGGCAGGGTCATCAAAATCTGGCCAAAATTTGCACAATGTATGGCCAGCTTTACACAGCAGACACTATCAGTGCAAGTCTAATTTCTGCATCATTCAGGTGTTGTCAAATGGCAGCTCAAAATATAGACAAAGGTAATTGACAGCAGACCTGTCAGTCATTTCACAAGACTGCATAATTACATTTTTGGAAAAACATAAAAATAATAACTAAGCTCTAGTCATGTGATCGTGCATAGGCTTAAGGGCCGCAGCTGGGAGAATGATGTCATTAGTGTGCTTTAGACACAAATAATTTCCTCACTTTTCCTTTCTTCAGTCTTCCCTTAGACCAGGGGTCGGCAACCCGTGGCTCCAGCTTTCATCTCTCGGCTGCGGCTCCCTGTCCAGGGGCAGAACTACAGCCGGGGCCTCAGGGCCTGAGGCTGTGGGGGGAGGGGGGGCAGTGAGGTCCGGTCCTGGGACCCCCTGGTGGAATATGCGGCAGTACAGGGTCCCAGGGCCCCGCACTGCCGACTGGCTTCTTAGCAAGGGGGCGGGTCCTGTAACTCACCTCCTCTCCCGGCCACGCCCCTAGTGACAGGCGGCGGGAGAGGAGAAGTGTGTCACATGTCCCACCCCCTGCAGTGCACACCGTCTGGCTGGGATGCTGGCTGTGAGGCTTGGCAGGTGAGTGCGAATGAGTGTGTGTTACGGGTGTAACTGCACACTGTGTGCTGTTATTCCATTAAATTAGACTAGTGGATTATAATGGGGAACATTACATTGTAATGTTACCTATTGTAACCTATTTCTCTGATTAAATGATGTCAAGCATTTCAACGCTTTCTCAGTTGTTCCAGGGCAGATCGGCATCGAACAAATCATATGTGCAGGAGAACTGAGTCGGATAGAAGTGACATTTCAGGACCGAACAGCTGTTCCAGGGTAGATCAGTTCTCCTGCACATACGATTTGCGATGCCGATCTGCCCTGGAACAGCTGAGAAAGCTTTGGAATGCTTGACCTATTGTCATACATTCCACTACCAAAAATTAAAATGTGTGACCACATCACCGGTCTCACATTGTAACGTAGTCACAAACTTTGATAGAACACCGCCACCAGGGGGGTACGGCCGGTACCCATGTGAGGGGTCTGGGCAGACTGGGGGACCTCTTACATGAGTATCAGCTGTACCAGGGGAAGCATGGCAGAGGTGACAGGGGAGGGGGTGGAGGAGGCCAGGCCCTAGCAGCAGCAAGTAAGAGGAGTTGGGAGGAGGTACAAGAAAAGGGACCCCGGGGCCAGCCCACCTGAGGCCCTGCAGAGCCCACCATAGAGAGTCTCAGATGGGCTGTGCAGGATCTATGGTGTGCTCTGCAGGGCCACTCTCAGGTCACTTTCAGGTGGGCTCTGCGGGGTCTCAGGTAAGTCCAGAGCGTTACTAAGCCCACATATACCTATATACATGCTATACATAGCATAAATGTAAAAAATGATATATGCAGTGTTATCTTCATTTTAGATGTCAAAAGGGTTTTGTGGCTCCAGGTGTTTTCTTTTCTGTGGGAAACGGGTCGAAATGGCTCTTTGGTGTTTAAGGTAGCTGTCCCCTGCCTTAGGCTATACATTGTAACAAAGTGAGAGGCATCAGCAGGGGGTTTATTTGTGTGAGACAACATTTGTACACACAGTAAGGAACATAAAGACAAATGCATATGCATTTGGGATTCCAATAAGAGTGTTATCTAGGGGTCAGCATCTCATTCCAGGAAGTAGATGCTGACCCTACATGATGCCTGATGTATGAACAATGATAGCATCTGTTTTCTGAGAAGAAGGGTATTGTCATCAGGAGTACGCTGATCTCTAACAGGTTATAAATACCTGTAAGTGTTATGCATTTTTTACAATGCATGCATTTAACATGGACAAAGATATATCTGTAATGCTGTGTCCACTTCAATTAAACATTGAGCAAAATATTTTTAAATGGAACACAGTTTCTCAATTCCAAACATTTGAATTATCAGGTCTTATTAAAAAGAATGGATTAAACAAAATCATGTAAATCTGTCACAATGATTTCCACAGAAAATTCAAAAACCAAATTGCCAAAGATTACAGTCAGAGATGACACCGAATAAGGAATGCACCCACTTCGAAGTCTTTTGACACTGATCCAGTTTTTCATGATAACTACAGCCAGTGGATATCATAAGTACGTTAAGCATGTGTTAAGTAAAATGAAATTATGTGTTTTGGGTTGCCTACAGAGGAAAATAAATCATGTGTTTTGGCCTACAGATAACATTCCTGGAATGGGGAGGCTGTACTTAGACAGCAACAAAAGGCCAAAGAACTATACATTTTTGCTCATATTTAAAACAACCATCCCTATGGCAGAGTGCTATACATATACATCCCAGTTAATCTTGTCGAATAAGAAGTTTAGGTTTAAATCATATAACAAAAATGCACAACATATTTAAGTGAAAGCTGAGTTTTACGCAGATGTAAAATGTTATTCAATGCAGTCCGTATTCATTAAAAATCATGAAATATATTTTTCATATGCAGCTGATGTAAGAATTTGTATCAGCCTGTTGTAATACCTTGTACAGTAGCACTCATACTGTGAAAGGGATTGCCAATACTCTGAACAAAAAACAGAAAACAAAAAAAGCAGATGAAGAGGGACTGCTTGGAACCTGGGGGGGAAGGCTGGAAGGGGGGGGGAACGTTGTCAACGTCAGACTGTTGCAGCTCCAAACATGTTGGTCGCTGGTTCACACGGTCCGGTGCTGAAAAGACTCAGCTGGCCAGACTGAGCCTTTTGCGGCTGCGTGGGAGAGATCATTCAGAATTTAATAAAAGGTGCATTTGAACTGCAGTCAACCTCCTTCTGACCTCCTTGGAGCTTCTTCAATCTGCTTTGCATTACAACAGACTTGTGTGGGGAGAGAAGCACTTGTGACAAAACCAAATCCCAACAATACATGCACTTTAATGAATTAAACATTAAATAAACACTAATTTTAGCATAAATATTTAGACAAGATGTCATTCTTGATAAACCGCCAACTAAATCCCATTCATGACCTTTGTCTACTTTACAGATGTTCCTTAAGGCAGTTTGACAATCCTGGGAAAATATTTGCAGTGTGATGTTCCCATTTATAAGATAGCACACACTAAAAACATGATAGTACTGAATAAATATTTCTGGACTTAAAGATCTTATTGGTAACATAGAACATATCAATTAGTTCTGATTAATTTATCAACACGTGCTAAATAAGTGCCAAATAAGAACAGACTGATTGTCAGGTTCATCCATTCTGTCAGTTGTAATCTGAAGGTCTGACCGTGATTTATGGCTACAAGCAGCCTATACAATACTTATTTAGCACATATTACTGATTTCCTTCTAAAAGTGAAAGTCCCCTGCCCGTCTCTGGCCTTGTTACCTTGTGTTGTGAAACATGCAATGGACACTTGTCTGCCTATGTTTAGTCTAAACTATGACATATTCAGCTATTTTAACTGAATAAAAAGTGATTCATAAGCTAATGTTGTGTTAATATTCAGGAGTCCTACACACATCATATTGTACTGTGCACAGACGTTAGACGTAAGAAGTAGAAGTAAGTTAGAAGTAAGACATATTTAATCTGGTTGCCTAAAGATGTGTTGTTTCTTATTGAAAATAAAATTAAATTTCAGCAAGCAATTATAGGAAGTGAGCAGTGTTTGTATTTATAGAGCTGTAACTGCTGATTGCATTAGTAATCTAATGCGCAGTCCTTCTTGAATTCACAAGTCTATCTTGCAATAATGTGTCGGCTATGACTAAAGGCTGCAATATATGGTTACACGTTATATTTACTTTGTTATTGCCTGAGCTGGAACCCAGTTTGCTGGCTTGCATTCCTAAATTAAGCCAGAAAATAAAATGCCTACAAGCATTACATGTCCTTAGGATAATACCTGTGATATTAGCTGTAAAAAGACAATAAGGCTGTTAGTGGAACCTATTATATACACACCCAGATTTATAGTTCATATGTTCCATTAGATTGTGAGTGTCAGACAGAGCACAAAAAAGAGCATTCCAGGGTCACATTGTTCTAAGAACTCTGGGCAGTAGAAAATGTGACCCTTGTAGTGGGGCTACCCCCACACTGCAAGGGTTAAGTGCTTATTTTCATCTAGGGTCTTAAATAAGAAAGACGTACTCATCTGAACTTCGGACTCGAATGGCTGCTAGACCATTCTCTACATCCTCTTTCCCCCTCTGTTCCGGCAGTCTAAGAACCCATGAGTCATCACAGCCAATACAGTGTGTTGGAAATAAGGACGCTAAGGGACATTCCATTGCCCGAGCGGGTGCAGGGACCAGCCTAGCAGCCAGCCAGGTCACACATTTGGGTGAGTATATCTTTGTTATTTTTAGACCCCTGAAGAAAACAAACACTTAACCCTTGCAGTGTGGGGGTGACTTTAAAAGCTATGTACAGTAGTTAGGTACATATGTTCTTTCTATTAGGTTAATTGGTAAGGAAAAATTAGCAATAACATTTCTTTTTTTTTTATCTTTGAAGTATGAAATATTGAATATTTTACATTATGTAGTCTTCCCTCCGGCCAGCAGGTGGGGCTCTAGTCACCTTTTTATATAATTAGTATGCTTACTTTTTAGCTGTGCTGTAAAAAGCCTGTTAGTTACAGAGAAGAGAATAATCAGACAGCTCAGTAATAGTTGTCATCAGGCAAAGTAAGCTGCTTTATGTGCTCTCCCTTTAGATAGCCCACGGGGCTTTATGAACCATGTATCATGTATTAAATGTAAATTGGTAAAGCAAATATTGTCATTGTGTACACCAGATCAAATACAATAGTTTACAAAAATATAAACTTTAAAAAATGAAGTTGATCCAAAACCATCAGTTTTCCTTTAAGGTTGTGTCATAGCCATAAATGTTTGACAGGCTGCAGATTCTGATTGCAGCAACTTCAGTTTTACGCATTAATATTGTTGAGAAACCCTCAGAGGTCTATTGATAGGTAAGTACAGATACATCTATTCACTCACCGCTGACAACATTGAGGGGATCTTATCAAAACTGGAGCAGACAAAATCTGGAGCAGCTGTGTATGGCAACCAATCAGCTTCTCTCTTTCATTTTAACTGAACAAACTGAAGAGAGAAGCTGATAGGTTCCCATGGGCAACTGCTCCAGATTCTGTCTGCTCCAGCTTTGATGAATTCCCCCATTGCGTTTACTCTACACTATGTCTCATTTTTATGAGTAATTCATAAAATGTAGGTAACAGGGTGGAGTCATCAGTGTCCCACGGAGTGACTGCGCTCTCCTCCACCCGGCATTTTTTTCCTTGTTTATGGAAATGAATGGGGCTTCACTTGCTTTGGACTCCCAAACCCAGAGAAGCATTAAACATATTTGGAATACATACCACAGTGCTTTATGCATTTCTCTGCATGTTTTGTGCATTTTCTAAAGTAGCAGTATGATGCAGTTAATGCAATACTGGTGCTTAATAACTGGGCCAAAGTATCTAAAATGTTTTAGATATTTTAACAAATTGGCCTGCAGAAAGATTTTACTTAACATGTAAACCTCAGATCAAAAATTTGAATCCTTTGAAGCAATTCTCAGGTGTTAAGGAATTGGGACCGTGCCACTAATCACATTAATACAATAAAAAAGAAAGACTGCCACATAAATACAATTGTATACTTCCACTTGTTGCCTAAACAGTTGGAGTGGATGCATCGTGCTAAACAAAATGTCAATATATTTAGTATATACAGTATACACATATGTCATAAATGATCTTTGAAGAATGGAAACAACCAAGGTGCATTCATTAAAAAAACACATCACAAATGTTTGGATGCAAAAAAATCAGTAATGATATTGTGTGGCAAATAGTATGTCCTGTTAGGTTCTCTGTAAAAAAAATACCATACTAACCATCTCTGTCGCTATAGTTCCATGAAAAGCATAAAGAGAAATCACAGAGACATTAATATTTAAGACAGGCTGTGATCAATGACAAGAGACTAAATTATATTATTTATTGGATATTGGAAATACTTCATAATTAATATCATTAAAAGGAGAACTACGAGGTGAGTGAAAATCACTCATCTTCATAGTTGGAGCCGACCTGTGAGAAAAAAGCTGTCACACGTCAGCTCAATAGATCGCAAAGCACGCCGTCCCCCGCTCACTTCTCGATCATCTCCCTGCAGAGAGCCGTGACTGTCAGTCAATTTACTTAAGGAATAGAAGCTGTTTATTGAGCAAAACTGATGTTCACTTTGCAAAGTGAATAGTGTAATGTGTGTTTATTCTGAATACCCAATCATGTGCTAGCAAAAATCCTGTTAATTTTTAATTTCTCTTACACATGATTGGGTATTCAACGTGAACACAGGTTCACCTTATTTACTAATATACTCTTTGCAATGTGAACAAATATTTTCAGTGAATGTTCAGTTTGCTAGTTGAACAGCCTCTATTCCTTTAATTATTAAACCCCAAGGTGGGCTGTAATTGCATTACTATTTCTTTCCAAAGAATATCTATTTTGATTGTTGTAAAAATACAGTTCTGGGAAGTGGCGATTAAACGGATGCATTAAAATCTGAGAATATACTGATTACATCAGCCTATTACCTTAGTTCTAATGTTTATGATATCTAAGAATATTAGGAGTAACTTCAGCTAAAACTAAACAATTCCACTGATTACCTGCAGGACTGATTGGCATGATGTCTGCCAAAGTTAATCCACTTTGCATGGGTGACTGAACCAGAACCCTGCCACTTGGTATTACTGCCAAGTAGAGCTGGTGCATACATGTTTTAATTACAGTTGACTGTAAAAATGATATTGCAAAATGACTTTTCAGTCCTGAATTACAGTTAAAACCTCTAATTATAACATTCCTAAAGGCATTTCATTCACAAATACATTTGTACAGACTTACCTGCATCTCGTCAAGTTTGGACTGAATATCCGGAGGGAAATCACCCACTGCACAGCAAAAAGGGTCAAATGGTTCAGCTCCAAACAGATCTTTTGCTACAAGACACAATTTTTGACAGACAGATATGAACAACATTTAATAACCTCAGTTATAACAGCTCTTTTACATGCATCATTTTTTATATATAATTGGAAACGTTAGTGTAACACATTGTGACATTTTTGTCGAATACTCATTACCTGGTGGGAAATAAATCAAATCCTAATTTTTGAAAAATGCTTATTCCATGCTTTGAAGATCTGTTTAAACCTTTCTGTCTTTTATTAACCACTTGCTGTCCGGAGCAATCTCTTACTATTTGCACACACATCATAAAATCTGAATTTTTGACTGGAAAACAGCTTCAAACCCCCAAACAATTATATATTTTCTGAAAGCAGAGGCCCTGAGGAATACAAAAATGCTAGTTGCAATTTTTTACTCTGCACGTATTTGCGCAAATGTTTATCAAACCAGTATTTTTAAGGATTAAATACACTAAATTAAAATTTAGTGCACAGAAACAGAATATAATACCCAATTTGTTGGTAAAATATAAAAGACGGGCTCACATTGGGTAAATAGATACCAAACATGTCAAGCCTTAAAATTGTGTTCGCCCGTGAAGAAATAGAAAACTTCAATACCCAAAATTTCCCATAGGCAACATTTTAAATGCTTTTACCGCTCATTAGTTTAGTGCTAACAGTGATTAATGGCTCTAGAATTATTGGTCTCACTCCGACGTTTGCGACGATATGTAGCATGTGTAGCGCAATTGTCGTTTTCACATGCAGGCACACCAATGCGGACAGCGGCTTCTTGAATGCGGGTGGGCGTTTTTAAATGTCCCATCCCGCCCCGCGGGAAATCAGCTTTAAATGAAAACAGCCAGCGATGGTCATTGTATATCTGTAAAAAATAAGTCAAGGCAACTGGACTTGCTGTATTTTTCTTGAAGACGTTTTACTGGTCATCCAACCAGCTTTCTCAATTCAGAATGACTTGAACAGAAATAATCTTCAAATAAATATGGTGAATGTTACTCCAATACACATAATCCATTAGTGGCAACCAGGTGTTGATGGCATTTGCATAATTGGAGCTAGTAGGTGTTAATAACCTGCCCAAGGGGAGGTGTTAAAACAGCATTGTATGTGGCAGACAGCTTCTGGCTTTACTTTCAGTCCGTGTGCTGTCCGTGTGCTTGAAGACGTTTTACTGGTCATCCAACCAGCTTTCTCAATTCAGAATGACTTGAACAGAAATAATCTTCAAATAAATATGGTGAATGTTACTCCAATACACATAATCCATTAGTGGCAACCAGGTGTTGATGGCATTTGCATAATTGGAGCTAGTAGGTGTTAATAACCTGCCCAAGGGGAGGTGTTAAAACAGCATTGTATGTGGCAGACAGCTTCTGGCTTTACTTTCAGTCCGTGTGCTGTCTAAGAGGGCCTTCAGTGCAGCAGGTTTTTTTTTTTTACAGAGAGACAACTTAGCCTGTCACTGTGGACTGTCACACTTTCATAAAAATGTACCAGGTCACAATTAGCAATGATTACAAAACCTAGCAGATGATGCTCCCAGCTAAGTTTTTCTTTATCATCTGCTCTAAAAAATAAATAAATTGGCAACTTCCACCATTACCAGCTCCTGCCACCTCTCCTAGCATGCCACCATTAGCAGCTCCTGCCACCTCTGCTGGCCTGCTACAATTTCTAACTTCTGCCACCACTCCTGGCCTGTGCTGCCACCATTACCAGCACCTGACATCTTTCCTGACCTGTCACCTCTGCTGGGCTGCCACTATTACCAGCTTCTGCCACCTCTCCTGGTCTATTCCAGGGCTATGGCACTGTAAATGTGATACACAATATTTCCACAGGTGGGCTTCAGCTGCACAAATTCTATTGTTTGCTACAGGGTACATTCTGCATTGCACCTCTAAGCTTGTGGCCTATTCCAGTACTAAGCTTGCATTGAGCCTTAAATTGCAATTTATTCCAAGTGCTTCAGCACTGAAAAAGTGCCTCACATAATATTTCTGAAGCTGTACCTCATCTGCAAACTTTCTAAAGATTGCTTCAGGGTAAAGCACTCAAAATATTTGTGGCCATTGTCGTTCTGAAATAAAACACTCTAATGTTTATTTCAAGATAAAATTTGCCTGGTCTCTCACTTTTATATTATGGCCTAACCAAGTCACTTACATACTGTTTATTGAATGCACAATATTTGTGGGGTTGTCTCCTAAATAATTACATTTAATGTCTTTTTCTGGATTACAGGGAAATAGGTTTACCTTACCATTCTCTCTTACACTGCAGCCTAATCAAGCTGCTTACAACTTACTGTCCAACCATTGTACATATCTGTAGTTACTGCCCCTCAAATAATGTTTATTTCAAGATAAATGTTTTACTGAAGAGACTAACTGTGCAAGGAAAATAAGTTCAAACAGGCCAAAATCATGATACAAAAAAAAATAAAAAAACACATTCTGTAACTCTCTACAACCAATAGGTGCTGAACTTGCAGCATTTTTAAAGGGACAACAGGGAAATGCAGATGTTATAAGACTTTAAGTAAGCAAAACAGTGTTACAAATATAATATAACCCACATCGATTGATTATTGATTTCTAGCAACTGTGTCTGATTAAAAAACTTGGCAACACTGTGTGATTGTTAATACCAAGAAAGCTATTACAGGTGGTAAGCTGCACTAAAGCTAATGTACAAAAGCACAGGAAACAGACTGACTTGGTAGCAGCATGAATACGCAAAAGGGATAAAACCTAATTATGTTGAGTGATAGTTGAATCATAAGAATCAGCCATTTACCGATTTGTCTAATTTACGGAGAGTTATGCAAGAAGAATCAGCTATTCATAAATCTGTCTAATTTGTGGAGTTATGCAATTGTGTAGTGTAGGCAATCAAGATTGATGAACTTCATGATTTTCCAGAGACTAGACAACTCCTATTGCAAATATTCTGGGGAATCAAATCACTTATCACTAATCAAATATGATACAAAATGATTTCATGCTGTGATCTACAGGTCATCCCAAGCACACTAGCATTCAAATGTGTTTGATCGCAACAGAACTTACTGATCTCTGTTGATCTATTGGGTATAGGTGGAGGCTGAGTACCATTTCTTGTAGGGGTTGTTGACTCAGGAGACACTGAGGTAAATGGAACCATGTCAAAGATATCCATGGATGGTGATTTTGGTGACACACTGCCAGCCTAAAAGAAAAAGAACACTGTGACTATGGTATACTATATGTAGCATGTCACACCCATCATGCACTGCTAAGACATACATATTTTCTATGCAAAAACCACACAGATTCCATGTTCATGGTAAAGCTTTGTTTGATGAATTATGTGACAAAATGCATTCAAATTACATAATATATGTTGTTCAGGTACTTCTTGAATTAGGACATTAATTATGTGTAAACATATCAGAAAATTAATAAAATTTTAGGCAAGGTAAAAACCTACCTCAATACATAGTAATGCTAGAAAGTTAAAGAAAACAAATTATATTTTTGAATGCTCCTTTTCTAACTGTATCCTAGAATGCGACTATACAGCCGAGGCCATGTTTACCATTTGGCACAATAGGTCTTTGCCTATAGGCAACAGAGGCAAAGAAGCAGCTTCTGTCTGCATAGTGTAATTGTTAGACATGCATTTTTTCCATCATCACTAGAAATACTCATCTCATTATATAAGGTTATTAAAACTATATAAAAAAATAAGCCACATTATAACCAGGATAGCAAGAAAATGTTCTTTGTTAAAGAGCAAATTCTAGGGGCTTAGGGTAACGAAAGTTGTGTGCCTACAGACTCCAGGTGTGTAAATCTGCCCCAGTATAAAGCCTTGGATAAATATAACCCCTCTTCCCTACCTGCCCCAGCCATGTTTCCCATTGTCTTTTATGGGAGAATTGCTTCTCATAATGATTCATTATTTGATCCAATAATAAATATTTTGTTTACCTTTTCTTTGCGAATGCAAAATCTCTTATTTCATGGTTGAACAAATTAATCAATGAAAATTGACTTGTAGAATCTCCTACAATCCCACAGTCCTGAAAGTTCAAGTCTGAGGATATAAGAGGTTCTGCTACCGAAACCGTAACTGAAAACGAGTACAGAGCACAAAGACCCAGAGGATTTTTTAAATAGTTTGTGTTAATACATTGGTGAATCAGAGGAGGTGCATGTTAACCTTTTCTGAGTAAGGACTGTTATAAAACCTGCCCCCGGAAGAAAGGATACGTAGGTAAGATATACTTTCCTATTTCAACAGTGTCTGGAGCACTGCAGAGTGTGCTATCCATCAGCACCAGATGGGTGTTTATAAAGGGAGAATGCATTTTGGCGGCCTGAGTCTTCAAGACCACCTGGTGTCAAAAAGACACAAGTTGGTATCAGTATGGAATGAGGGTCTGCACACCAGCCTCATTCAGAGAGGGGTAGTTATTTGTTTATAATTTTTGTAAATGTTAAAATAGGAGAAAAACAGCAGCATTAAATACCGGAAGTTTGAACCCTGCACATTGTGAATTGCTTATCTTAGTGCTTTTTCCTGTCAACATGGTGGAGATAAGCATCATAACATTAAAGTGTATCTAAAGCCAAAACATCACTATTTTTGGATAAAGTAGAATAGAATAGAGAATAGTTAAAACCACTGTCTGTTTTTTTTGCTGTCTGTGTACTCGTTGGTAACATTTACCCTTTCTATTTGTCTTTGACAACAGGACTGAAAGTAAGGGGAAATCCATGATTTTGAGTTGTCACCAGAACAGGAATAGAGGGAAACTCTTCCTAAGGGCACATATACACAAGGGACAACTGTCTAAGAAAGGATTCCCTCACTTTGGAGAGATTTCCTCTCACTTCCTATTGTGTTTAAGGGACAGGAAGTGAAAGTGAATCTCAATGACACAACACAGATGGCAAAAAAAAACAACAGAGTTTGTTCCCTAAATTGGCTTTAGATATACTTTAAATAATTCTAACAATCTTTCAGTCACTAGTTATATTTATCGTATACCATACAGCTGGATGTCTGACACATTTTATTATAGCAAGATCTCATATTTTAAATATTAAATGCCAGAAATAGAACTGTGTATATATATATATAGGGGTAACTATTTTTTTTAGATGTATTTTAATGATAACCAGCTTTTTATATATTTATTGAGTAGATTATACACAATTGAATGTAGTTCTCTCATGACCTTTAACATGAACTGAAAACCCCCACTCACCCACCATTTTGCAAACCATTAAAACAGAATGTATGCAATAAAATATGACATTATAGCATATAACTGAAAAAGAACCACAGGGAATCATAACTTTTGAAACCAATGAAATTAGGTATCAGTATTTGAACTAATAATGGCAAACAACATTTTCAATCCCCAAAAAATGATGAATGTTCACACATATGCAGTAGAAAATATAGAAACCACTTTTAAAGTTAATGTATAGTCCATTTCATTCAGGCCAATTTGCTAGTTAAGGTTGTTCACATAGTAAAAATCACTTAGCCTAGTGAGTAAGATGAAGCTCTGTTGACATTAATACTGCAAACATGTGACAGCCAAAGTACTGTTATTTTTTTATTTCCCTTGCACATAATTGGGTATTTAAACTAAATACAGCTTCACCTTATTCAGTAAACTAAGTGAACCATTGATATGCTTTTAGTTAATCAACCACTGTGCTTTTTAAATATACATGTAAAAGGGATCAGATATCAAAACACTTATTAATGCTTATATGTTTAATATAAAAAGTTTCAATGTGTGGCTTGTAGTGTCATGTCCAGAGTAAATGTAAAATAATATAAAATCAATATTACATCATTTGCATGCTAAAATATGAATGACATTTAATGTTATCTAATGTCCCAATTATTTTTTCTTGGTGATAGATTCCCTTTAAATCAAACCTGCGAGTTGTAAATAAAAAAAAAAAAAACTGAGCTGACAGCACTAGCACATTGCTGACTATAGCAAGCTGTTATAGTTGACCTGAAAAAAAGTCAGGATTTGTTATATTATAGGAAACAGCAAGAAAAACTGATTGTGGCTCAGCAATAGCCTGTAAAATGTACTTTTTGCTTGGAGTACCTACTGAGAAATGGCAGTGTAATTCCTGTGTCTAGGTCCAGCCTCATAACTGTATTTCAGCATTGTGCGATCTTAGGCATTGCTGCCTCTGACTACTAGTTTCAGGAGATTCAGTGATGTCACTATTGTGTTGCTCAGTGTTCTTCTTGCTGCAGGGGATGCTGTACCTGAGGACCTGCTTTGCATCTCATTGTTTCTGCTTCATTCATTCTGTAAACCTGCGATCTTCTTCCAGTTATTAGTTTAATAAGTCATCGGGCAACTCTGACATGAGAAAGCAAAGCCCTCCCTACATCAAGATGACCACCTCTACACAGAGACACAGAACAAGGAATAGTAAATTAGTAAGGTGGAAAAATCAGATATAGGGAGACCACAGTTAAATGGTGATTACCCCTGTGGCCTCTGCTTTAATTTTTTGGGCACAGATTCCAGAGTTTAACCTGTACTATCTTCCTATCTGCAGGCTTCAGCATTGTCATGTGGAGGACTGAGGCAGAATGTGCCTAGGTTACAGAAATACAGACTTTCAGAAAGTTTCCATTTGCATATCCGCCTATTAGGGTGGCAGATGGCACCAGGGAACAATGCCTTAAATAGAAGTTTTGTGCTGACAGCTTATGGTGTCAGCTATGCACTAGTGCCGTTCTTACACCTTTTTTTTTTTTTAACCAAACACACAGATTTACTTTAAATAATGTGGCAAACATTCTGTGTTATATTTTAGAAATCATGTTTTCATGATGTTATACAGACAACAGACAACACAAGATTGAATACACATAGGAAAATTGAAAAGTTCACAGTAGATTTACATGCGGTCTTGGAATGCTGTATTCACTGTTTGCTTTTGGATTAATGTTTTTGGAAGGTGGAGCATTGAGATGCAGTCCTGTTGAGAATCTAGACTCAGGAGAACTCATGGGGGTGAATGCAATAGAGCAGATATCTAAGTGTGGAACTGAAGGCTCAATATCACACCACAAAAATGTAGAGGATCTCTCAACCACACTTTGCTCATGGCTTGACCATGTATGAGGTAGCTGCAGAGGAATCAGAGGAAAAAAGGCTAGACAGTAATGTAGCATAGAGTAGATAGCCAGCTATACAGTAGTAGTCAAAAATGCAAGCATCAGATAAGAGAAAAACAGAAAAGAAGCTAGAAATTATTCTAAAACATTAGGAGGCTCCACCAAACATCAGTGTACAAATCATAGTTGTCAGAATTGGATCAGTATTAAACAACTCTGTCACTGAACTCCAAAATAAAATCAAGAAGTCACTTACTATACTTACTATACTATACACTTACTATACTTACATGTGCCAGAGCCTGCTTGTAGAATCTTATCTTGGCTTTGCTGAGCAAAGCCACCCAAATAATATTCCCATCGGACATACTTTCAGGTGTGTGTGGGATGCCTGCCTCCTTCTGTGTGCACTGTGGTCCCTCCCATCAGCCCCAACATCATTACTATGTCCTGTAGTGATGTAGGGGCAGAAAAACCACAGGACACATGAATACATGAAAAATGTAAGCTTGTTCTAAAAATATTGCTTATTTTAACCCCCGATTCACAACCAAGCTTGCTCAGGTTTAATAGATGTAACATATTTTAGCAGCATACAATTGTAAAGCATAAATCAAGTCAGGGCACTCAGCATAAAAAAAAGAGATTTAAAAAACTGTACTGTAGTAAGATAGAAAGAACATTGACTGTGGACCATTTTTTTTATTCCAGGTATTTAGATAACACAAAGGCTGGAAATGTAAAATGGACTCTGTAACCATTAGGTATAAAAGTAGGCATTTATTGTTATATTGTTTATTGAATACCAATTACTTGCACATATCTGTATTTTTGAATAAGGGTTGAATTTAGTATAGCTTTAGAAACATCATACTACATAACAGGAAACAACTAATGACCAACTTTAAAAATTATATAATTTAATGTTAGCAAATAAAGGAACATTTCAAGTTTAATTGTTTTTGGCTAGTTTTCAGTATATGACTTATTCCAAATCCTATATATCCAAAAACAGTTGAACATAAATGTGTCCCAGACTAGTGTCATATAGT